GTTTGGGAGGGTTGGGGATTTCTTGGGAATTGTTTGGGAGGGTTGGGGATTTCTTGGGAATTGTTTGGGAGGGTTGGGGATTTCTTGGGAATTGTTTGGGAGGGTTGGGGATTTCTTGGGAATTGTTTGGGAGGGTTGGGGATTTCTTGGGAATTGTTTGGGAGGGTTGGGGATTTCTTGGGAATTGTTTGGGAGGATGGGAATTTCTTGGGAATTGTTTGGGAGGGTTGGGGATTTCTTGGGATTGTTTGGGAGGGTTGAGAATTCCTTGGGAATTGTTTGGGAGGGTTGGGATTTCTTGGGAATTGTTTGGGAGGGTTGGGGATTTCTTGGGATTGTTTGGGAGGGTTGGGGATTCCTTGGAATTGTTTGGGAGGGTTGGGAATTCCTTGGAATTGTTTGGGAGGTTGGGAATTTCTTGGGAATTGCTTCAGGGTATGGGAATTCAGGGTGGGAATTCCTTGGGATTGGTTGGGAGGGTTGGGGATTTCTTGGAATTGCTTCAGGGTACGGGAATTGGGGGTGGGAATTCCTCGGGAATTGTTTGGGAGGATGGGAATTTCTCGGAATTGTTTTTCCCTAAAATCCATCCCAAATCCCTCCCCGGACCCTCTCCATCCGTTCCATCCCCGGAGACGCGAGCCGCGGATTCCCAAAATTCCCATCCCGATGATCCCAGCTCCTCACGCCTGAAATCCCGGGAATTTTCCACCCGTTCCAAAAACGGGAAAAAAGAAAATAATAATAATAAATAAAAAACCCGGGATCTGGGATTTTCCCACCCAAAATTCCCGGCGGGAGCGGACCTTGAGCTCGTACTCCTCGCGGGTGTCAATGGTGTCGCAGCGCAGGTCCTGCTTCAGGTCCACGTCGTCCTTGAACGACTGGAAAATTCATGGAATTTTATGGGATTTTGTGGGAGTTTGTGGGATTTTATAGAGTTCTGTGGGGTTTCGTGGAGTTTTTCGGAGTTTTGTGGATTTTTTGTGGAGTTTTGTGGAATTTTTGTGGAATTTTTGTGGAGTTTTGTGAGATTTTGCGGGATTTTATGGAGTTTCGTGGGATTTTGAGGCATTTTGTGGAGTTTTGTAGAATTTTGTGGGATTTTGTGGAGTTTTGTAGAATTTTGTGGGATTTTGTGGAGTTTTGTAGAATTTTGTGGGATTTTGTGGAGTTTTGTAGAATTTTGTGGGATTTTGTGGAGTTTTGTAGAATTTTGTGGGATTTTGTGGAGTTTTTTTGAGTTTTTTTGAGTTTTGTGGAGTTTTGTGGAATTCTGTGGAATTCTGTGGGATTATGGAATGGTTTGGGATGGGAGGGACCTTGAAGATCATCGAGACCTTGGGACTTTTCACCATCCCAGCTGCCAATTCCATCCCCAAATCCATGGAACCCTGGAATTCTCTGGGATGGAAGGACCTTCAAGATCATCGAGATCTTCCACCAGCCCAGGTGGCTCCAGCCTGGCCTTGGGGACACCTGGGGACACTTGGGGACACCTGGGGACACTCCCAGGGTTGGGGACAACCTCTGCCAGGTGCCAATTCCATCCCCAAATCCCATCTGGATCCATGGAACCCTGGAATTCTTTGGGATGGAAGGAGCTTGAAGATCATCGAGACCTTCCACCAGCCCAGGTGGCCTTGGGGACACCTGGAGACACCTGGGGACACTCCCAGGGTTGGGGACAACCTCTGCCAGCACTCTCCCACCATCCCAGGTACCAATTCCATCCCCAAATCCATGGAACCCTGGAATTCTCTGGGATGGAAGGACCTTCAAGATCATCGAGATCTTCCACCAGCCCAGGTGGCTCCAGCCTGGCCTTGGGGACACCTGGGGACACTCCCAGGGTTGGGGACAACCTCTGCCAGGTGCCAATTCCATCCCCAAATCCATGGAACCCTGGAATTCTTTGGGATGGAAGGACCTTCAAGATCATCGAGATCTTCCACCAGCCCAGGTGGCCTTGAGGACACCTGGGGACACCTGGGGACACTCCCAGGGTTGGGGACAACCTCTGCCAGCCCCTCCCGGCCGTCCCAGGTGCCAGCTCCGTCCCCAGGTGCCGGTGGGGTGTCCCCGCTGTCCCTCACCGAGTAGATGGCCTTCATGACGCGCGTGGCCGTGGAGACGCTGGCCGTGTCCTCCTCCCTGTCCGCGTGCAGCGTCAGCGGCTCCCGGTTGACCGTCTCCACCTTGATGTCCAGCTTGCGCAGCGTCACGTCCTTGCGGCCTGGCGGGGGACCGGGGGTGAGCACTGAGTGACCACAGGCTGACCACTGAGTGACCACCAAGTGACCACTGAGGGACCACTGAGGGACCACTGAGTGACCACTGAGTGACCACTGAGGGACCACTGGGTGACCACTGAGTGACCACTGAGCACTGAGTGACCACCGAGTGACCACTGAGGGACCACAGTGTGACCCCCATAGAGACACCCAGAGTGACCCGAGTGACCACAGAGTGACCTGAGTGCCCCCAAGTGATCCCTGAGTGTCCCCAGAGTGACCAGAGTGTCCCCCGAGTGACCAGAGTGACCAGTGACCCCCATAGAGACACCCAGAGTGACCTCTGAGTGACCAGAGTGACCCAACTGCCCCCTGAGTGTCCCCAGAGTGACCCAAGTGACCCCTGAGTGACCAGAATTCCCCCCACATGCCCCCCAAGTGACCCCTGAGTGTCCCCAGTGTGACCCCAGAGTGACCCAAGTGAACCCTGAGTGACCAAAGTGACTCCTGAGTGTCCCCAGTGTGACCCCTGAATGACCCAAGTGACCCCAGAGTGACCCCCGCGTGTCCCCGCGTGTCCCCGACTCACTTCCCTTGCGGCGCCGGTACAGGACGCAGGCGAGGGCGGCCAGGAAGCCGACGAGGAGGACGCTGGCGCCGATGGTGGCCCCGGCGATGATCCCCACGGGCAGCACCTCTGCGGGGACAGCGGTTGGGGACAGGAGCCACCATCCCCAAAATCCCACCCCAAATCCCGCAGTCGGAAAAGGGGTTTGGGCTCAGTGAGTCCCGGAGGTGCCCGGTCCGGTCACCCGGAGTCATCCGGGGATTCCCGGGATTCCAGGGATGGGGGTCCGACCTTCCCCGAGCTCCTCACGATGGTTCCCGGCCCTTTTCCCATGGGAAATCATCCCAAAGATCCAGCCCTGGCAGGAATTCCTGGGACACCTCCAGGGACACCTCCAGCGCTGGAGAACCCAAACCTTTCCAAGGCCTTTCCAGGAGGAACTTCCAGGAGGAGAACCCAACCCTTCCAAGACCCTTCCAAGACCTTTCCAGGAGGAACTTCCAACACTGGAGAACCCAACCCTTCCAAGACCTTTCCAGGAGGAACTTCCATGGCGGGAGAACCCAACCCTTCCAAGACCCTTCCAAGACCTTTCCAGAAGGAACTTCCAACACTGGAGAACCCAACCCTTCCAAGACCCTTCCAAGACCTTTCCAGGAGGAACTTCCATGGCTGCAGAACCCAACCCTTCCAAGACCCTTCCAAGACCTTTCCAGAAGGAACTTCCGGGGCTGCAGAACCCAACCCTTCCAAGACCCTTCCAAGACCTTTCCAGGAGGAACTTCCATGGCTGCAGAACCCAACCCTTCCAAGACCTTTCCAGAAGGAACTTCCAACACTGGAGAACCCAACCCTTCCAAGACCCTTCCAGGAGAAACTTCCAACACTGGAGAACCCAACCCTTCCAAGACCTTTCCAGAAGGAATTCCAAATGTTCGACCCCATCCCCCTTCCAAGACCTTTCCAAGACCTTTCCAGGAGGAACTTCCAGGACTGCAGAACCCAACCCTTCCAAGACCCTTCCAAGACCTTTCCAGAAGGAACTTCCAACACTGGAGAACCCAACCCTTCCAAGACCCTTCCAAGACCTTTCCAGGAGGAACTTCCATGGCTGCAGAACCCAACCCTTCCAAGACCTTTCCAGAAGGAACTTCCAACACTGGAGAACCCAACCCTTCCAAGACCCTTCCAAGACCTTTCCAGAAGGAACTTCCAACACTGGAGAACCCAACCTTTCCAAGACCTTTCCAGGAGAAACTTCCAACACTGGAGAACCCAACCCTTCCAAGACCTTTCCAGAAGGAATTCCAAATGTCCAACCCCATCCCAGCTGGAGACCTGTCCCCACCTTTCTCCTCCAGCTGGATGATGGCGGTGCCGGGCCCGAAGCTGTTCCAGGCCGTGCAGTTGTAGCGGGTCTGGAAGTCGGCGTCCATGACGTTGTTGATGGTCAGCGTGGACAGGACGCCACTGCCCGTGTTGCTCCTCTCCACCGTGTAGCGCTCCAGCGTTCCCGCTTCCAGAATGTTCTCCTTCCACGCCCAGGCCTGGGACAGCGGTGGGAACGGGGATTGGGGTGTTGAGCGATTTAAATTAAATTTAATTTTATTTTAATAGATTAATTATTTGTTGTTATTAGTGTTAATAATTTAGTTGTATCCCGCTTCCAGAATGTTCTCCTTCCATGCCCAGGCCTGGGA